GGAGAAGCTCCTCGGCTGGGTGGACGACCAGGACTTCGGATGCAACTCCTGGGAGGGCAAAGTCTGACTTTGCCCTGGTCCGCAATACGGCCTAACCCAGTCGAATTCCGCTGAATCCGGCTTGATCCCGCTCAGTCCCGCTTAATCCCGCCTGATCCGCGGCCCAAGCCAGCGTAACAGCCCCCCAGTGCGGCTTAATTTTCCTGAGTCCTTCCGACGAAGACCTCCCAGTAGATGCTTCCGACCAGGACCCCCACGGGCAGACGACGTTCGACCGGGAAGAGATGCGCAAGCTCCTCACGGCTGGGGGGCGCGTTCTCGCGGCGCCCTCGACGGCGTTGCGCGGCGGTCTTCAAGATGACGACGCCCTCGACGGCGGCGGCGGCGACGACACGACGACGACGATGACGAGGACGACGACGAGGACGACGACGACGACAACGTCAACGACGGCGACGGCGGCGGTGGCGACTAGCCGATTGCAAGGACCGTTTCCTGAGGTTACTCGAGGTTTCCGCAGTTTCCTCGAGGCTTTCCGACGTTGTCGCAGTACAGTCGGACCGAGGTAAAAGACCGAGGTCGGTTGGGGAAGGGTACCCTAACGTTTTCCGTGCTTGTTGGATGTTCTTGTGTAGCCTGGGGAGGGTACCCTTGGATGTTCTGCGCGTTTTGGCCGGCGAAGGGTGGTCTCGTGTTCTTGAGGGACGTTCTTCTGTCCCAGGTTCGACTGCAGCGCAGATGCTCTTCCATCTTCGGGATGCTCCCCAGCAGCTGCGCCTCGCCGAGTGCGCTCACGGGGTGCCCAGATCTTCCCGAACGGCCGCCGAAGATTCGACTTCTGGCCAGCCAGGCGCCGATGATCATTCGACCGGCGTTACCCCAACATACTAATACTATGTGCGCGTCGCCCCCCCCGGGGCGACGCGCGCGCCGAGAAATTTGGTAGTATAGGCTCCGCGGCGGGCGCTTCTCGGCCACACCACTCGGGAAACGACATCCTGCAAGATGCCTGTGCTATCTGCTCGGGTCGGACGCACGCCTCCAAGGAGGACACATATTGTGAAGGCCTTGCGGCCGGTGCCGTCGGCCCTTTGTGCGAGGAGGACATGGGGATGGAACAGGTGGACGATGACGGGGGGGCTCTTGGGTCTTCCGGAGCGTCTTGGGGGTCTCTTGGGAGCCTCCTGAGGGTCTTATGCACGCCTCCAAGCAGGGCACATATTCCAGACGCTTCTCGTAATCCTACTAGCCCATCGAGAAACGATGCCCAGACGAGTTGCCCTGATCAGGGATGTGCAGGAGAATGCGGCGAAATAAATGGCTGTGTGAGACGTCACACCCCAAGAGGGGAGGATGGAGGAGGAATCGGAGGAGGAGCAGGAGCAGGACGAGGAGGAGGATGAGGAGGAGGAAGAGGGGAGGGAGAGGAGGGAGGAGGCAGGAGGAGGAGGAGGAGGAGGAGGAGGAGGAGGAGGAGGTGGGTGAGCAGAAGGGCCAGAGGCGTCTTGGATGCCTCTAGGAGTCTCTTCGGGAGCTTTTGGAGTCCTGCTGGAACGTGTTTGGGGTCTCTTGGCAGTCCGGGGGCCTCTTGAGGCGTCTTGGGTGCCTTTGTGGTGCCTCTTGGGACCTCTTTGGGGTCTTTTGGGGGCATCGTGGGGGCCTCTCGGGGCCTCCTTGGCACCTCTTGGGGCCGTCTTGGGGCACCCTTGGGGGCCTCGCGGGACATCTTGGAAGAGATCGGTCAAAGGAGGAGGGCTCCTTCCTTAGGGTCCCCCCCCCAAGAGGCCGAAATGTGGCCCAAACCCTCGTAACATGACTGATTTCGGGCTTTCCTCCGAAGCCTCTTGGGGCGTCTTGGGTGCCTCTGGGGGGCCTCTTGGGGCTTCTTGGGGTCTCTCGGGAGCCTCTTGGGGACATTTTGGGGGCACCTTTTGTGGGCCTCTTGGGGCCTCCTGGAGCACCCTTGGGAGCCTTGAGGGGCGGGCCATCTTGGGGCGACCATCTTGGAAGAGATCGATCAAAGCAGGGGGTCCTTAATCAGAAATGACGCTTTCTGTGGTCGCTTGTAGGGTCCCCCCGGCATCGGAACCTTGGGGCTGGGTTCGGAACCTGGGGGGGCGACGAGGACGATGATGACGACGACGACGTTGACGACGACGACGACGACCACGACGACGACGACGACGCCGACGGCGACGACGACGACAACGACAAAGACAACGACGACCACGACGACGATGACACCGACGACGGCCATGGCGACGGCGACGGCGCCGAGGACGACGAGGACGACGACGACCATGGCGGCGACGACGTCGACGACGACGACGACGCTAGCGAAGGCTTCTCTTGACTGCCCCGGCCGCTTGACCAGCCTCCTCGGTCGTCGTGGTGCATTTTCCCGCTAATGTTGCCGCGCCGTCGAGCGATGGGACACATCTCACGTCCCGCCCGCCCGCCCCAGCTGCCGCCAAACCGGCGAGGACGAGCTCTGCACTTGCTGTGCCGAGCGCTCGGCCGGCCTCCTCAGTGCCTGTGGTGCATCTTCCCGCTAGCTCTGCCGCGCCGCAGAGCGATGGCTACACATCTCACGGCCCGCCCGCCCGCCCGCCCGAGCTGCCGCCAAACCGGCGAGGACGAGCTCTGCACTTGCTGTGCCGAGCGCTCGGCCGGCCTCCTGCGACCCTGGCTCCGTCTTGTGCCTCGCTGCCCCGCCCTCTCGGCCTCTGGGCCGCGGCCTCGCTGTCTCCTCTCCCTGGTTCGCTGCCTCGCGGCCTCGTTTTCTCGGCCCCCGAGTCGCGGCCTCCTTTCCTCCGACCCTGGTTCGTTCTTCGGTCTCTCGTTTCCTCGGCTCCTGGGTCTCGGTGCCGCTCTCTCCGACCCTGGCTCGTTTTCTCGTCTCCTCGTGCGCCTGGCTCCTGCGTCGTGGTCTCGTCTTCTCCTACCCTGGCTCGTTTTCTCGTTTTCTTGTTCTCTCTGCCCCTGGGTCGCGGTCTCGTTGTCTCCGACCCTGATTCGTTTTATAGTCTCATCGTTGTCTCTGCCCCTCGGGTCGCGGTCTCGTTTTCTCAGACCCGGGTTCGTTGTCTTGTTGTCTAGTGTTTTATCTCGTTTATTTTTTTTTCTTTTTTTTTTTTTTTTCTTTTTTTTGTTTTTCTTTTTTTTCTTATTTTTTTTTTATTTTTTTTCTTTTTTTTTTTTTTCTTTTTTTTTTGTTTGTTTTTTTCTTTTGTTTTATTTTTTTTTTTTTTCTTTTTTCTTCTTTTTATTTCTTTTTTTTTTCGTTCTTTTTTTTTCAGATATCTTGGGTCGCGTTCTCGTTTGCTCCGACCCTGATTCGTTTTATAGTTTTCGGGTTTTCTCGGCCGCTGGGTGTCTCGTTTTCTCAGACCCTCGTTCGTTTTCTCGTTTTTCCGTGTTCTCGGCCCCTGGGTCGGTTCGTTTTATAGTTTTCTCGATGTCTCGGTTCCTGGGTTGCGGTCTCGTTTTCTCAGACCCTGGTTCGTTCTCTCGTTTTCCCATGTTCTCGGCTCCTGGGTCGCGGTTTTGTTTTCTACGACCCTGGTTCGTTTTTATCGTTGTCTCGTTTTCTCGGCCCCTGAGTCGCGGTCTCGTTTTTTCCGACCCTGGATCGTTTTATGATGTTATGGTTCTTTTGGCCCCTTGGTCGCTGTCTCGTTTTCTCCGACCCTGATTCGTTTTCTCGTTTTCTCGTTTCTTCGGCCCCTAGATCGCGGTGTCGCTTTCTCAGACTCTGGTTCGTTTTCTCGTTTTCCAGCTTTCTCGGCCTTTGGGTCGCTGTTTCGTTGTCTCCAGCCCTGGATCGTTGTCTCGTTTTCTCGGCCCTTGTGTCGCGATCCTGATTTTGCAGACCTTTTCCGTTTGCCCGTTTTCCCGTTTTGTCGTTCTTTGGGCCTGATTGGCTTCGGTGATTGTTGTTCGTATACGTTGCCATTTACATTTAGTGCATCGCCTGTCTGGACGCCCCGCGCGTTGTCGTCATCGTCGTCGTCGTCTTCGTCTTTGTTTTTGTAGTCTTTGTCGCCTTTGTCTTTGTCTTTGTCTTTGTCTTCGTCTTTGTCGTCGACGTCGTCGTCCTCGTCGTCGTCCTCGTCCTCGTCCTCGTCGTCGGCACTGCCGCCGCCGTCGTCTTCGTCGTCGTCGTCGTCGTCGTCGTCGTCGTCGTCGCCGCCTTTCCCCCTTCCCCCTCACCCCCCCCATTTCCCCCCCCCAGGTTCGAACTCGGGGGAGGTCCCCCCTCCGTTTCTGGGATCCTTCATTAAGGTCCCCCGTCCAGGAGTCCGCCAAAACGTGGCCAAAATCTTAGGGCAGTCAATGATTTTGGCCTTCTCGCCGACGCCTCTTGGGGCGTGTTGGGTGCCTCTGGGAGGCTTCTTGGAGCGTCTTGGGAATCTCTTGTGAGCCTTTTGGCGGCATCTTGGGGCCTCTTGGGGGCCTCACGGGGCCCACTCGGCACCTCTTTGGTCCATCCTGGGGCGGACTTGGGAGCCTTGGGGGCCATCCTGGAGGCATTTTGGGGGAGATCGATCAAAGGAGGTGGGCTACCCCATGAGCCCCCCTCCCAAGGAGGCCAACATGTAGTCAAAACCTTATTAACATCTATGATTTTGGCTTCCTCGCCCAGGCCGTCTTGGCCGCTCCAACGTCTCGCGAAGCCCCCCTCCAATCCTCATGGGGAGGGGGGAGTTGGGAGGGGTGAGCCCCTCCCCGAAGGGGAAGAGGGGGGGTTAGGAGAAGAAGCTCGCCAAACCACTCACGCCCTGAAGGGCCGGTGGGTTTGTGAGCATGTCCCTTCTGCGTCCCACTCGAGGGCCTTGGGCAGTCCGTAGCCGTTTTGGCTCAAGCGTTTCTTCGGCTCCAGGTATTCTGGTGGGCGGCGGGGGCAGACACGCGCGCGAGGCGCGAGAGGGGCGGCGCGCCAACCCTGCCTGGCAATGTCTGATGATGACTTCATGCCCCCGCCCAGCGGCCCTGCGGAGGACGACTCCGACTGCGGGGACCTCCCCCCCGACACGGGGCTGCCCCGGGGCTCAGTGCTCCCAGATGGAATTCAGAAGGAGATCATCAACCAGGCAGGTCCCGACGACTGGAAGATGCCGAAGTCTGGCGACGAGGTGACGGTCCACTACGTCGGCAAGTTGGCGTCCGACGGATCGGTGTTCGACTCGTCGAGAGACAGGCAGACGCCGTTCGTCTTCACCCTTGGCAAGGGCGACGTGATCGCAGGCTGGGACAAGGCCCTCGCCACGATGAGGAGGGGCGAGCTCGCCACGTTCAGGATTTCCCCCGAGTTCGCCCAAGATCCCGGAGGACGCCACCCTGATCTTTGAGATCGAGCTTCTGTCCTTCGTCGCCAGGGACGACCTCTTCGGGGATGGCTGCGTGATCAAGACGGTGTTGGCGGAGGGCACCGGGTGGGCGAAGCCTAAGTTCGGCGACGAGGTGCTCACCGACGTGCGGGCCACCGCGGCGGCGGGGGGGCCCGCGAAGGACTGGGCCGGCCTGGAGTACAGGCTGGGCTTCAGCGCCCTCGGGCCGCTGGGTAGGGCCTGCGACGCCGCCCTGAAGGGCATGAAGAAGGGCGAGGAGGCCCTGCTGAGGTCGGGTGCGGCAAAGAGGGGGGTGATGACTAGGGGGGGGTGGATATCATGGCGTGGGCCATGATATTTCCTCAGATTTCGTGGCGCCTCCTCTTATTTCATCACGTCCCTGGCCCCCCCGCTGGGCGGCGCACATGCCGCCGGTCATGATTTGCACCCCCCCCTCTTGGAGACCCCCCTCTTGGCCGCTCCCGATCAGGTGTACCAAAGATTATTCATGTGAAGATTGGTCCGATGGCGTGGAGGTGACCATCAAGTTGCAGGAGATTTTCGAGACGCGCGACGTCTCCTTCAGGAAGGACGGCGCCGTCCTCAAGAAGCGAACCCGAGAAGGCGAGGGCCATTCCACACCGACGGAGGCTTCGAAGGTGACACTTAGTGTGGATGACGCGCGGCAAGCTGACGCGCTGGTCCCGGGCTTTGCGAGCCAGGTGCTGGAGTTCACCCTTGGCAACGGGGAGGTGTGCGACGCGCTCGAGTGCGCGGCCGCGCACATGAAGAGGCTCGAGCGGGCGACGCTGACCGTGGCGCGCCCAGCGCTGGCCGCGGAGGCCAGACTGGGCCTGAGGGACGTTGGCGCTGGTGGCGAGTCGATCGTCCTCACGCTCGAGATGAAGGAGTTCGAGAATGGGAAGGAGCAGTGGGACATGTCGGACGAGGAGAAGATGAAGTTCTGCGGCGAGCGTAAGGCCGTGGGAAATTCGCTCTTCAAGGCGGGCAGACTGGACCTGGCCCTCGGGCGCTACAAGAAGGTCGGTGATGTATTCACATACATCGACAATTACCCCGAAGACGTCAAGGCAAAGGCACGGGATTTGAAGCAGGCATGCGAGCTGAATAGGGCTATGTGTTATTTGAGAATGAACGACTATGACGAGGCCAAGGCTGCCTGCAACAGGGTGTTGAAAGACGACAAAGGCAACGTGAAAGCCCTCTACAGGCGGGCCCAGTGCGAGCACGCGCTCCGCAACTTTGAGGAGTGCATCGGGGACTGCAAGCGTGTGGCCGAGGCGGACCCGCAGAACCGGGAAGTCAGGGCCCTGCTGAAGCAGGCCATGGAGGGCCAGAAGGAGGTGAACAGACAGGCGAAGGGCATGTACGCGAACATGATGAATGGTTTGGGCAAGTCCTCGGGAGCGTGACGGCTGCTGTTTCTGAGGCCGCCCTCGTGGGCGCGCGTGAGCAACGCCCGTGCACCAGGATGTGTATTCCCTCCGCCCTCGTCCCTGGCGGTCGTGGCCACTGGATGATGTATCAGCCAGCCCACGGTACGGGCAGGGAACACCGGACCCACGCTGGCCAAGGCCTGGGGTCCACCGTGCACGCCGCTGTACAGGGTGATGTGTGCATCGCGCGATCTTGCCGTTTTTGAGCATGCCTGCCGGGTGTCGCACTTGAAGCGCGAGGTACAGTCGGCTTCTCGGCCCGTGGGCCTGCGCGCCAGCGGCGGGGCTGCTTAACAAAGACACCAAAGACCAGGGTCGCAGCCCCTCGCCAGAGCGGAACAACGTCGTCGTCGTCGTCGTCGTCGTAGTCGTCGTCGTCGTCGTCGTTTTTCGGCGGCGGTCTGCTCGGGCGTTCTCGGCCTTTCCGTGCTTTCAAACATCTATGGTCCGCAGGGCGTGCGTTAGCCCAGTCTGTGTGCGCGTGTGTGTGCGTGTGCGTGTGTGTGTGTGTGTGTGTGTGCGTGTGTGTGTGTGTGTGTGTGTGTGTGTGTGTGTCAGTTCCGCCGGTAACACGCAGCAGTGCCCATTTTGATTTGATCCGTCCGATCCGATTTCGATTTTCCAGCGACCCGGTGCGGCCCAATACTTGCACGTCGCAGTTGTCCATTCGGGCGCAGCCGATTCGAGTCGATTCCGAGCCGGTGTAGCCTGATCCGATGCTTGCTCCGACTACGATTTCCCGAATCGATTCGGTGTAAATGCCTCGCTGGCCAAGCCAGGAGGGCGTATGCGCCACTCCTGGGCCAGGATGGGCCTGGTCAGGAGCAGTGGATATGTATAGATCCTGTCAGCCCATTTTGATTAATGGGTTGTCGACCCGCATCCAACTGACGCCGCTGCGCCGGATTGACGTACGCACTTGGGGTCGTGGTGCTTGCTAGAGCGGCCCTGGCCCAGTCTGGCCTTCGCGATGAAGCCCAGAGGGAACCACCCTGGGCAGCCCTCCTCCGCCCCAGGCAGTGAAGCAGACTGTTGTGAGGAGGAGGAGGAGGAGGAGGAGGAGGAGGAGGAGGAGGAGGAGGAGGAGGAGGAGGAGGACCGCACCGCAGTGGACGCTCGCTGCCCTTGCTGCCCGCCCGCCTCTGCCCCTCGAGCCTCCTGGGTGGCCCCTGGCCGCCCCGCTGCGTGCCCCTGCTCTCCCGGCGCGCCCCGCTCTCCGCCGCCGCACCCCTGGCCGCCATTCGGACAGGCCTCCCGAAGAAGCTTGTGATCGTTCTCTTATTCCTTGTTCTTGCCCATCGGCTCGGGCCCTCGCACCCCCCTGGAGTAGGTCTCGGCTGTTTTTGGCCGCAGAATCCCCCCTGGCTGCTTTTGGCTGCTTTTTGGCTGTGCCCCCCTGGCTGTTCTTGCTCGTAGATCTTAGCTGGTTTTGGCTGTTTTTCCCCACATCCAAAGTGGGGTTCTTGTTTTCTCTGCACACCCCCGCGCAGGAGAGAGATCTCACTCACCCCCTCTTCTCCTCGCACTCATTCACACACACATCATCATCACTCGCACTCTCTCACACGCTCACGAACATCATCGTCATCATCGGTATCGGCATCATCCTCATTCAAACATCATCATCGCCACCACCACCCACAATCAATCATCATCCTCTTCACCACTCATCTTCACCACCACTCATCATCCTCATCCTCATCATCGTTGAGTAAATGTGAGGAAGTCTCAGGCGGGAGCCCCCTCCCTATGGGGCCCGCAGATCATGTTGGTAATCCGAGCGGGTCATCGGAACCCTGTAACTGTCGTCACTTTTGGGCTCCCCAGGCCTGAAAATGGAGGAAGTCTCAGGCGGGAGCCTCGTCTGTGAGTGAATTGGGAGGAAGTCTCAGGCGGGAGCTCCCTCCCTATGGGGCCCGCAGATTATGTTGGTAATCCGAGCGGGTCATCGGAACCCTGTAACTGTCGTCACTTTTGGGCTCCTCAAGCCTGAATATGGAGGAAGTCTCAGGCGGGAGCCTCGTCTGTGAGTGAATTCTGAGGAAGGCTCAGGCGGGAGCCCCCTCCCTATGGGGCCCGCAGATCATGTTGGTAATCCGAGCGGGTCATCGGAACCCTGTAACTGTCGTCACTTTTGGGCTCGTCAAGCCTGAATTTGGAGAAGTCTCTGGCGGGAGCCTCGTCTTTGAGTGAATTGTGAGAAGTCTCAGGCGGGAACCCCCTCCCTATGGGGCCCGCAGATCATGTTGGTAATCCGAGCGGGTCATCGGAACCCTGAACTGTCGTCACTTTTGGGCTCCTCAAGCCTGAATTGGAGGAAGTCTCAGGCGGGAGCCTCGTCTGTGAGTGAACTGCGAGGAAGTCTCAGGCGGGAGCCCCCTCCCTATGGGGCCCGCAGATCATGTTGGTAATCCGAGCGGGTCATCGGAACCTGTAACTGTCGTCACTTTTGGGCTCGTCAAGCCTGAATTTGGAGGAAGTCTCAGGCGGGAGCCTCGTCTTTGAGTGAATTGTGAAGAAGTCTCAGGCGGGAGCCCCCTCCCTATGGGGCCCGCAGATCATGTTGGTAATCCGAGCGGGTCATCGGAACCCTGTAACTGTCGTCACTTTTGGGCTCGTCAAGCCTGAATTTGGAGGAAGTCTCAGGCGGGAGCCTCGTCTGTGAGTGAATTGTGAGGAAGTCTCAGGCGGGAGCCCCCTCCCTATGGGGCCCGCAGATCATGTTGGTAATCCGAGCAGGTCATCCAAAACCTGTAACTGTCGTCAATGTTGGGTTCTCGCGCTGCCAGAACGCAGTTCCCAGGCCACACTTTGGATGCAACAAGGAAGTTTTTGGGCTCCTCAGGTCGCCGAGGTGCTGCGACAGGGCGCCGAAGGCGCCGACGACGACGGCCAGGCCGAGGCGCGGGCGCGGAGCTTGCTGATGTTCAGGCCCAGCGAAAGGGAGTTCACATGGCAGAGCTCGGGGGCGCACAGCGTGCGCCGCTCGGGGTTCACCCTGACGCACGCGTCCTACCTGACCTCCACGCTGTCGCAGGGCCAGACGCTGCGCAAGGGCGTCACCATCGACTGCGCGAGAGACGAGGACGCTGGCCGCACGGGCATGTCGGACGAGCAGTGGTGGCTGCACCTCTACGTCATGTTCTCCCGCGCCACGTGCATGCGGAACATGCTGATCCTGCGGCCGCCGCCGCGAGAGTTCCTGGAGTGCGGGCCGCCGGCGTCCCTGCGGAAGGCGCTCCTGGAGTTCGACAAGAGAACGGTTTTGTCCAGGGCGGAGGCGAAGCAGCTCGCGGCAGAGCTGGGCTTCGTGCTGCCTTCCGCCTGAGCGCGGCTGCGCCTCGCTCGAAGCCCGCGGGGTTGTCCCAACGGCTTGGTCTTGCGCGCCAACGGCTCGCGGGGTTGTCCCGACAGCCTGGCCCGCGGGGTTGTCCCAACGGCTGCGCGACGTGACCTGTAGAGAACGCGCCTGTGCTGGCCGTGGCGGCGACGGCGCCGAGGAACATCGACATGCGCGCTCATGCAACAGGAAGGGGAGGAGGTGGCGGGGCGCGGAACAAACAGGGGGGCGAGGATGGGGACAACGTAAGGAGTGGAAGGGGGGCCCGCGCCAAGGCGAGAGGAAATATACGCAGAAGAGACAGCCAGGACGCCTCACCAACCACGAGGACGACGGTGATGGCTTTTTCCAGATTCGCCCAGAGGATTCTTATGTGGGGTTCTTCCGTCGGAGTAATTTTGCCCTCGCCCCCCCCCCCTCCCAGAGTAGATCTTGGCTGTTTTTGGCGCCTGCTTCGAGCAGGTGGAGTCTCCCCCCTGGGACGCACTGTTGTAAGCAGTCGCGTTACGCAGAGATCTGGAGCCATACCCCCCCCCCCTCCCCTCTCCACCTTCCGCCCACTGTCGCAACGCCGAACAAGAAAACGCTCGCCTCCCGGAAGAAGACAGAGGTCTGCCTCTCTCGGGCGCGAATCAATAATGGGGGGGCGATAGACAGGGAGGGAAGAGAGGCGCCCCTTTCGGGCTCCAGAGGCTCCTTTCTGGGCCCTCAAAGGGGACCCCTAAGGGCCATTTAGGGCCTCTGTTCTGCAGCCCTCGCTGCCCCCCACTGATCGCCCCCTTAATTTACCGCAGCCCAGCTCTCGCCGTCGCCGCCCTCGTCGTCGTCGGCCTCCGTCCTCGAGAGGTGCTGCCGGTCGCCGGTCGCCGCCCGCGATGCTTCCCCGACGAAGGCTGCGGGCGGTCTCCCGCGCCCCCGAGCCTCGAGCGCCCCCGAGCCTCGAGCAGGAGGAGGCCGCGCGAGCCCAGATCTCTCCCGAGGGCCGCGCGGGCCTCCAGGGTCGGTGCCAGCCCGCTGGCGCGGACCCCGGGCGTCCGAGCCCGCGCGGGCCTCGGATCGCGAACGTGGGCGGGCTCGGTGCGCTTGTCTGGCTCCCGTAAAGGTGTGTGTGTGTGTGTGTGCGCGTGTGTGCCCCGAGGTGTGTGCGTGTGTGTGTGTGTGTGTGTGTGTGTGTGTGTGTGTACGTGTGTGTGTGTGTGTGTACGTGTGTGTGTGTGTGTGTGTGTGTGTGTGTGTGAGAGTTCGATCGGTCGAGTCCGTGGGCGGGCTTGGTGCGCTTGTCGGGACCCTGCAAAGGGTGTGTGTGTGTGCCCCGGGGTGTGCGTGAGTTCGATCGGTTGGTTGCGCCGAAGCGCCCAAAGCATATGCACCCCGCCGCCGGCAGCTCCTGATGGTTGCCGATAGGTGGGGCATGCGGGGGGCATCTGTTTGCGGTCGTTCGGTGCACCGCTGGATTGATCTCATGCCCCCCCTCAGGGTCAGCCCCCCTTGAGTGGATCCCGAGCTGGGGGGGGGGCAGAGCGGACCCTGTGGGAGCTCCAAGCTGGCGAACACACCTGAAAACGAGCCCTCGATGGCTCCTGGTTCCCTGCGCGCCAGAATCCTGCCGACACGAGATCTCGCGAGATGTGCACTC